CTAGTTGCTATACCTACTTTCCTCCACATCATTCTCTCTTCTTTTCTCGAGTTCAGCACCTGGCTCACGTCTTCTTCCCCACCTCCAAACTCTTACTCTCATATTAGGGAATTTCAGGATACATACTGATGTGAACACACTGGTGTCTCAGTTTATCTCCTTTCCCAAATTCCATGATCTGTACTTCTTACTTTACCTCAATGGTCATTGCACAAGCTATTGGACAAGCTATTGTCTGATACATTCCGCCCTTTCATAGTCAACTTTCTAGAAAAAAAGTCCTTTACATTCTGCCTCTACGTCTTTATTTCCCATTCTTTTCTCAGTCTCTTGCAATCTGGGTTTCATCCCCACTGCTTGACTGAAACTGATCTCTCCAAGATCACCACCAATCTAACTGCTAAATCCAGTCCTCATCCTTCTTGACTTCTTTGCATCATTTGACCATGTTGACCATGCCTTCCTCCTAGGAACTAGTGATTTCTTGGGTGTTGACGATGCTACTTTTCTGGTGCTCCTCCCACCTGTCTGACCACCCCTTGGTGTCTTTCGCTGGGTCATCACTGACATCCTCCTCCCTGTGCACAAGGCTATATTCTAGGACCACTTCTTTGCATACTCTCTTGATAATCTCATCAACTCCCATGGGTTTAAGTATCATCCCAAAGGAGATGACTCCCAAAGCTATATATTCAGCCTTCATTTTTCTCCCGAGCTCCAGTCCTACATCACCAACAGCCTACTGGACATCTCCACCTGGAGGCTCCACATGCTCCTCAAACTCCACATGTCCATAACAGAACTTATTATCTTTTCACCTAAACCCAGCCCTCTTCCTAACATTCCCATATCTGTTAAGGCACCCTTTCAGCCACCTGGATTTACCACATTGGATCATCTTTAACTCTTCACTCTCAAGTCTTATGGATTCTACCTCCAACACATCTATTAAAACCATCCTTTTCTCTCCATTCACAGGGCCACCATCTGACTTCAGGTCTTCATCACCTCTCACCTGCACCATTGCAAAAACCTCTTAGTTGGTTTCTTTGCGTCAAGACTCTCTTTTCCAATATATCCTTCACATAGCTATCAAAGGATGAACAACAACAAATTGATATTCCTAAAAACACAGGTGTTACCATGTTATTCCACTGATCAAGCAGTTTTTTGGTATGCCTTTTCCCCCAATTTTATTGATTGTTTTGTTTTTACATTATAAACATTTACAGATTATGCTCACTTCATGAGAGGTCACTTGAAACAAAGTAAATCACTTAGGTAAAATTAATAATATAGTGACCTCATCTGAAAGTTCATGCAACATTCCATATCTATAGCAACAACTCCATCCCCTGCCCCCATCCCTAACTCTCTTAATCAAGCAGTTTTAATTGTCTCTATAATAATTTACTGAATGACAATCTGGCATTTAAATACAATATGGCTCCAAACTATCTTTCCACATTGATTCCACATTACTTTCCCTCGGTTACTCTTTAAGCCGTAGTGATTGAGTGAACATCAGGTCAAGGGAAGAGACCAATCTTAAGACAGAGATTGTGGTGTCTGTACCTTTTGATTTCAAATGGCATCAAGGGGTGTTAGGAATTCAACAAAAACACAATTGAGGAGTTGTTTCTTCCCAATACCAGGAAAAGTTTCTTCTCTCAGAGACTAGTGACCTTCTAATTTCTCATAGCAATTGTTGCTCTCCTTTTTGGATACTCAATGCAGGGATATCAGCCTTCTAAGCAGCCATTAAAAGCAGTTGTGCCAAAGCACCCACTGGGAATATGGCACCTTCAAAGCACTGTTAACGCTCATGAGCACAGAGCATGTTAGTGGAAGGAGCCCAAGATTGGGACTTAGACTTCAATCCTGGTCCTGTCTCTATCCTCAGTCATCATGTGACCACAGGTAAGTCACTGAGAGGCAATGTGGTAGATCAGGGATATGCTGGTAAATGTTTAACAACCGACCCCCCCAACCATGTACCCATGACCCACTTTTAAATTTAATCTGCATCATTAAATTTCCTTCATCTCTTTCTTAAGTCTGGACAATCAACAAAGCAATAAATCAAACCCTCAATGGCAGCAAAGTTATAACTGGCCCCTGCACCCTTGGGTATAAGGGGCTAGTATACTGGATGTGGAGTCAGGAAGATGTGGTTTCAAATACTACTTCTGACTCCTAGTATTTGTGTGACCCTGGGCAAGTCACTTAACCTTTATGGAACTCAGATTTTTTTTTAATCAATAAAATGGGGCTAATAATACTTGCAGTGCTTACCTCAGAGGTCAGAGGTAAGAATAAATGCAAGTCTCAAAGAGCTAGATGAGTGTCAGCCATTAGGATTCTGATTCACTTCTCTTGGGCACAATTTCCTTATTTTTAAAATGAGAGGAATAGGCTAGATCATGTAGTGGTCTGCTAACCCTTTGGAGCTTCTGGACAACATTCAAAGGGGCTGGTGATAATATTTCTTTAATGGTGCCTTAAGCAATAAAAAACCATAAAGAATATTATGAGTAGTGTGTTAAATTGTTGCTATTAAAAGGGGATCATGGAACAACAACAACAACAAAAAGTACTGGGAACCACTGGGCTAGGTCACCTGCCAGGACCCTGATAGCTCTCAGACGTCATCATTTGATGATGAAATTGCACTCACCTCACAATGATATTGGAGCCTCCTTTGTTATAGTAGAGGTAGTTGTTATAGACAGCATGCCCACAGCCGTGGTAAAGATACCTGAGATGGATGGGCCTATAACTGTTGTTCAGAAGGGAGACTTGGTCCTTAAATTCTTTCACAATGAAGCCTATGAAGAGAGAATGCACAGAAAAGGAGGTCAAGGTGTTTACTCACATTGCCTGCAATGACCATGTGAGCAGTTCAGTTGAAAGATTTAGATTAATAAGGAAGACCAGGGGGTGATAATAGCTAATATTTATATAGTGCTTTACTATATTCCAGGCACCATGCTAAGTGCTCTACAATTATATTCTCATTTCATCCTCACAACAAATCTGAGAGGCAGGTGTTATTATTAAGCCCATTTTATAGATGAAGAAATTGAGGCAAAGAAAGGTTAAGTGACTTGCCCAGATTCACTCAGGTAATAAGTGTCTGAGTTCACATTTGAACATTTGATCCTCTTCCAAGACCACCCAGTGGTCTCTCCTCTGTGTCACTTAGCAAACAGTGAAAACCATGGCATTTGTTTAGATGTAGAAAGCTTAAGTCAACTCCTCTGGCAGAGTCAGAGAGGTACGGCAGAAAGAGCCTGGGTTCAAATCTCAGCATTCTCATTTATTACCTCTATGACCTCTAAAACCACTAAGTATCTCAGTTTCATATTTCTGTTAAATGAGGGGATTGCACTGGGATCTCTAAACTCTTTCCAGCTCTAATTTGTGATCAAAGGATTTAAAATCTTCAATAGATTGACCAGTCAATGGCCTCTGAGGTCCTTTCTCACTCTGAAGTTGTGAGATTTGTTTTATTCTTTTAAAAAAATTAAATATTTTATTAAAAATTTAATATGAAACTTCAAACAACTAAACTTGCTTAGTAACTTTATATTATAAATTTCAGTTTATGAAAGATCATAAAAACTTTTTGGTCACTCTCTATAAGTTCCCATTAGCTAGCTAGCATTAGCTAGGGCTTTAAAGTTTTCAAAGGGCTTGATCTTTGATCCCATCAGGATTCTTTGTTCATGCACTCTTACTCATTTTTCTTCTTAAATGGTACAGTGGGGAGATGGTTCTCTTCACAGTCAGAAAATGTGAATTTGAGTCCCACCCTTGACACTTGCTGACTATGTAACCCTAGGTAAGTCACTTAGCTGCTCAGGCAATTCTCAGAGACTACAAATTGTAGAAGAATTATTGACCTCCACCGATAGTGGGAAATTTTTCTCACCAGAAATTCCCTGCACCAATGAAATCATATACCTCAATGACAACAACAGAGATGGTCACCCACCACATGCATTCTCTTCTTTTTTCATTTTGCATTTTTTCATAAAAGTCTTCTAGTTGGATTTATATTCCTCATTCTTGTTATTCTTAATAGCTTTATTGCATTCTATTACATTAAAGTGCCACAATTCATTTGACCACAAAAATCTTTAACAGGTAGCTCTTTTTCTGTTTTCTTTCAGGGTATATTCCCCATAATTCCATTGTTGGACAAAGAACATGATGATTTTAATAATTTTTACTGTGTCTTATCAGATTTCTTTCCAAAGTTATTGTACAAATTTACAATTCCACCAACAATGAATGAGTGTACCTATGACTTATTTTAAATCAGTCTATCAGGTAACTTTTTTTTAACCTATTAGCATTCTTGAAAGTTTACTTGATGTAATTGAGAAAAGAATATTATTACAAAAAAAACCAAAACAAAACAGAAAGTCTACTTGACTGACAAAAGGACCCTAGGCCTTCATATCTCATCTGATCCCACCTATTTATCCTCTTCCAAGGATCTTTCACCCCTTCCAATTTCTGCCAATGCAAAGACACTCAGAAACCCAAACCCTGCTTGGCTTTCTATATGGACCATATGGACATACACAGAAACTCAGCCAGGACCGTAAAATTTGATCAGCTCATTTTCCTGCAGGTCATCTTCATACTGAAGATGCAATGAGACTGGGAAGCACTGGTTCAAATCATTCAACCAATCAATCAAATTTTGCCAAACACCTCTTTTGTTCAGAGCACTGTGCTAGGCTAGGTACCGTACTATGTGGGAGACTAAGAAGTATCTGATGCATAGTCCCTAACCTCAAGGGGCTCACTATCTAACTGGGGAAAGACAGCAAATGCATGTTGAAAAGAAAACTAACAGTACAAGTGGGTGATAAGTGATAAAAGTGACGGGCTTGCTCTTGGTGGTGATGGGCTGGCTCAGAGGAAGACAATTGTGAATTGAAATGCTCAGGGGAAACTATGAATGACAGCAGATGTAAGCTCATCTTTGAAGTATAGATAGAAATGACATAGGGAGAAGAAGGGGGAAGGATTCTGGCTGGGTTAAAGAGGATGAGCAAAGTTGAGGAAACAGCACAGTTTTAGGTTTATTCAGGGAACAATGAATACAGGAGTCTGCCTGAAGTAGGGAGTACCTATAAAGAAGTCACAAATAGGGTTAGAAAGAAGATTTGAGGTCAGATTATGGAGGTCCCTGAAGCCAGGGTTAGGGAATTTTTACTTTACCCCTGGAACAAAGTTATTAAAAGTTTTGGGGCACCAAAGTTATATAATGAAGGAGCATTTTGAGAAGATTAATCTGGCAGCAGCCTGTGGTATGAACCGAAATAAGGAGAAACTAAAAATAGGAAGATCAGTTAGATAACTATTGCATGAGACATGGAGACATAGCATAGTGCCAAGGAAAGAACCCTGAGCTTGGAATCAAAGGACCTTAGTCTGAATCTTGGCTCTGCCACTTACAATCTGTGTGATGATAGACTAATCTCTTTACATCTTTGGGATCTTTGGGATTCAGCTCCTCATTTGTAAAATGAAGGGGTTGGTTGTACTGAAATCTCTTTAAGTTTTAAATCTATGGATCTCAACTGGGATGTTAACAGTAGAAATGAAAAGGAAGGGACACGTTAAAAAGACTTTACCAAGGAAGAACCAATAGGACTCTCATTCATTCATTCATTCATTCATTTATTCAACAATATTTTTGAGTTCTTACTTTGTGCCAGGTGGGTGTGTGTGGTAGAAAGAAGACTGAGATAAAGAAGACAAAGGCATACCCTTAGAGATTTAAAATTTACTTGGGGGAGATAAGACATAAATATATATGCTTGGTCTGATATTTAGATGGGTTTCTCTATCATCTCTACTCAGAAGGCTCATAAAACTACATAACTAGCCCTAGTCTCTCTTGTGCTATAGCCCAGCATCACCAGCTACTTACAGGACATTTCAAGCTAAATGTTCCAAAAGACATCTCCATCTCAGCATATCTAAAACAGAGTCTAATATCTGCCAAACTTCCTTAATTCTGGCTAGGGTACCACCATTCTTCCAATCCCCTAAACTCTTTGACTCCTCACATTTCTTCATTCCACATAACCAATTAATGAACAACCCTTGCTGTTTCTACCACTGCAGTGTCTTTGCATCTGACCCCTTTTATCCACTTACACAGTCACCATCTTAATCTAAGCCCTTATAACCTTTCACTTAAACTACTACAATGACTTCCTAATTGGTCTTCCTACCTCAAGTCTCTCCACACTCCAGCCCATCCTTCCCATAGCTCCCAAGGTTATTTTTCTTAAGCACAGATGTGACTTTGTTAGGTTCCTACTAATAAACTCCAAAGTGTCTGTATTGTCCCTAGGATAAAACATGGATTTCCACATTTTAAAGCCTTTCAGAACATGTCGCCAACATATCTTTCTAACCTCATTATACATTGCTCCTCTATGGTCCAGCCAAACTGATCTTCGCTCTGTTTCTCACACAGAACCCTCCAGCTCCCATCTCTATGTCTTTGCATTGGACATTTCCCATGCCTGGAATTCACTCCCTCTTCTCTTTGGCCCCAGAGCATCACTCCCTTCAAGACAAAACTCAGGTGCTACCTTCTATATAAAGCTTTTCCTGATCCCCCAATTCCTAATGCCTTCTTTCCCTAATTACTTTGTACCTATCTTATATTTATTTTATAATTATTCTCATATGCTTATATGCATACATGTAATGGTGGGATGACCAATAGAAGTCCAGTCTTTTAAGCTTGTGTAATCTGTTCTGCCTGGTATGAACCCATGTGGTTGCATGGAGTGCCTGCTTCCAGAAATTTATGACAGTGTGTGAAGGTGGGCTCTGCCCTCTATTTTAGAACATGTGTAGGTATTCTGTGACTTTCCTGTCTGTTTACTACATAGTAATAACAAACATTTTTAATTGGTTGTGGAGTCAGAACTGAATATTCACCCAAAAGGCACCAAAGAAGGAATTCTCTCTTTCCTGATGGCAATCAAGTGAAGAAATACTGTAAATTTCTAGGTGGAGAGAGAGGCCTAAGGCCATCATCTCTACATCTGGACTGCTACATGGTCCATGCATGCATAACTTTGCTGTTTCTTCTGTGAGGTAGCTGGTAGACCAGTGGATAGAGCACTGAATCTGGAGTCAGGAAGACCTGAGTTTAAATCTTGTCTCAGAAATTTACTAGCTGTGTGACCCTAGACAAGTCACTTAACCTCTGTTTATTTCAGTTTCCACAACTGTAAAATGGGGGTAATAATACTACCTACCTTGCAGGGCTGTTGTGAGGATAAAATGAGATAATATTTGTAAAAAGCACTTAGCACAGTCCTTGGAACATGGTAGATGTTATGTAAGTACTTATTCCCTTCTCTTTTTGTGTTGTATTTATTCTTTCCTGATCTTAGGTGTAGAACTATGAAAAACAAAATGATCTTCTGAACTTCCAATGCTGGAAGAACCAGCAGAGTTTGCCAACAAGCCCAACGAGGAGCGAGCCTTTGTGGGTGACCTACTTAACACAATCCAGTAGTAGATAAACCTGGGAGCCAAGATGCCATGTTCAACAAACAAGGGAGTCACTTATCTATTGTACCTGAAAATGAACTTGATGAAGGGAGGAATATTCTTAGCAGCTACTTTAAATTTGAGTCTACTCTCCCCAGAGATTGAGGAAGGAGAAGGGACAGTGCACTCCTGGTTTGGGAGGATGTGTTTATACTTTTTATATCTTCCCCGTAAAAACACTTCTGTAAATGTTACTTGATATTATTTGGCTATCAGTAATATCAAGGAGATGGGTAACAGGTTAAATGATATTGGAGTGCTAATTACTGGCATTGATACTGGGGGAAATATGCCAGAAGAGAACTTGAGCTGATAGCATTAGAAGAACCCTTCTGCCTCTCCGGTGTACCCCTAGAACCCTGATGAGGAGATGTAATCAGTCTTGTTCTGAGGACCTGGCCTGCTAGTACACATGAGGGTTGGGAGAGTAAATCCAGAGTCTAACTCCATACATATTAACTGCCTCAATAGAAAGTAGCTCCTTGAAGGCAAGGATTGTTTCTTAATTTTTATCCCTAGTGGATAGCATAAGCAATCAATCAATCAATAAACTTACAATATGCCAGGCACTGTGCTAAGTGGTAGGGATACAAATAAAGGCAAAAGACAGTCCCTGACCTCAAAGAACTTACACTCTAATAGCATAGTGTACTAGGGTACATTATAGGTGCTTAATAAATACTTATTAAATGATCAGTTTATTGATTGATTGAGATAGATCTGTCATCTCATTGGAGGAAAGTCACCCTTCACCATTGCAGATTGCTACTAATCTATGTTTTCTCCAGCTGTGGGATTCTCGTCCAAGACCTTCCATAACACCTTCATGGAGAAAAACAACAAAAACTCTTATTTATATACTGCTTTAAGGTTTACAAAATGCTTTCCTCACAGCAACCCTTTGAGACAGCCATTGCAAGAAAAAACTGACCTTCTTTTCTAGTCAGTTATGCTTCTGAAAACCAACTCCCTCTTTTTATTAAACAACTGTTAAAAAAAATCAGTAAGGGTTTTAAACAGAGATAGAAAGTAGTTTAACAGCATAGTTGGAAGACAGATGTTTATCCATTTGGCTGGCATTGATACCTGAGAAATGTTCAGTCACCCAAATTCGTTCATCACTCTTATTTACTGATTCTTTCATCCAAGTTCCAAATGTATCCTTAACTTTTATCACCTGGGTGGGACTTCCAATAGATGCAATGATGCATTCTGCCAAAAAAGCAAAAGGGAGTATTACTATCATCTATGACCTTGAGGCATCATCTTTCTGAATTTCAGAACAGGGAACACAGAATCTGTTACCAGATTTCGGAGAATGGTGTTCACTGGCTTTCTCATCTGGTTTTCCTGCCAGTGTGTCATCATTTGGTACTGCACATGCATCACCTAAAGAGTTTAAAAAAATACAGCTAATGTAGTAGGTTCCCATTTTAATATAGTATTTGGGGAATCAGACTAGCACCTCCCTTTAGTACATTGAGCCTTTGGGGGAATGGAGCTATTAGACTGTGTTATAGGGGCAAGATTTGATTGGTGGGATATAAATCTGGGTTATGAGCCAATGAGATTCAGTTCCCAGGGAGAAGCTCCAGATTGCAATCAGAAGACCTAGGGTTCTGAACCTAGCTCTGCTGCTCACTCCCACTGGGACTTTGGAGAAATCATGTCACTTCTCTGGGTTTTGGTTTCCTCATCTGTGAAAGGACTGGGACTTTGGAGAAATCATGTCACTTCTCTGGGTTTTGGTTTCCTCATCTGTAAAAGGACTGGGACTTTGGAGAAATCATGTCACTTCTCTGGGTTTTGGTTTCCTCATCTGTAAAAGGAGGAGGTTAGGTTAGATGGCATCTTTTGAATTCTAAAATCCTACAATACTAAGTTTTATTGGAGCAGGAGCTATCCTGTTTTTAGCTAAACAAGGGAAAAGGTCTTGGTCTCTAATCATAAAACGATGTCACTTCCTTCATGAAGCCTTCTCTTTAGCTTCCTCCTTACAACCAAGGGAATGTAATCTTTCCTTCAATTCAATTTATATACTTACTGACCTCACTCCTAAAATTTCCCATAGCGCTCTTTCTCCTACTTCTCTCACTCTTCCTACTATCATAGCTATGGTCTTGTCCTTCTTTCCCTTCCCATCAGATTGTAGAGTTCTTGAAGGCAAAGCTTGAGTTACATTTGTTTTTCTATCCCCAGCACTTAGCAGGCATGCCTCATCCACAGTAGTTGTTTCATAAATTATTGCTGAATGGAATGAGGGTGTTGTTCTTCTGAACCACAGATCAGTTAGGCTTGCCCAGCATCCTGACAACTGGGGCCATCCAATGAGCCAGTCAGGCTTCTATCATCTGTCACTGCTTGGTGTGTTACTGGGGAAGCTGGGTATGACCCTGATGGCCAAGATTTAAAATAGAGAAAGAGAGAGAGAGACAGAAACAGCTAGAAAGAGACAGAGAAAATAGTAGGTAGGTAGATGATAATGATGATGAGGTTGAGGTTGATGAGAGACAGAGAGAGAAAGAGGGAGAAACAGAGCCAGAGCCAGAGCCAGAGAAAGAGCCAGAGTCAGAGAGAGACAGAGTGAGAGAGGGAGAGAGGGAGAGAGACAGACAGCTAGCCAGTCTGCCTTTGGAGTGGAATAAAATGAGGTCCTAATGCTTTTTAGGATCTATGCTACATAAAATGGATAAACCCAACCTTGAAACTGGAGCTTCCTCCTCCCCCCATTTTCCCCCTTCCCCTCCCTGTCCCCAGTTTCTAGGTCTTATGCTACAAAGACAAGTTCTCAGAGAAAGAGATGAATTAGTTTAAACTAATGCTTCCAATATTTTCATGATGTTTCCCTATTGTAGGTTCTGTTTTCCCCATCAAATGTTCATTTGGAATGACCCAGGCAGGGGAGGACAAGGGAGTAAGTTAGACCCATATGCAATGATCTTCATGGTGCATAAAATCCTCTGTTTAGTATTTAAAGCTCTTCATAGCCTGGCCCCTTCCTTCCTTTTCAATTTCTTAATTTTTACTTGCTTCCATATACCCTGTGATCTAGGTATACTGGCCTTTTTCAGGCATCCCAGAGAATTTTCAATACACACATGCCTTGGCCTTCTTGCTGTACTTCACACATGAGATACCTCTTACCCCTTGCCTTCATACTGTGCCCCATGCCTGGACTGCATAGGATGTCACTCTCCTGCTCAAACACCTTGAGCGGCTTCCTATCATCCCTAGCCTTCAATGTAAACTCCTGTCATTTAACCTACTACACACTACCTTTCCAACTTTATTTCACATTACTCCCCTTCACACACTCTACATTAAAGCACTTTTCTCCTTATTGTCTGCATAACTCACCAATGCCAGAAAACATGATGAAAAGTGAGTGAGAGTCATTAGAAGGCTTAATGAAGTTCTCTTGGTTCTGAGTCATGGTGGAAAGAAGGGTGCTGTCCTCCCAAATAATCATGCCTCTGACTATCCACTAGGTGATGACTGGATAGGTCTGGGACATAGATGCGATGTGGAGCAGATGAGGAGCCAACTGACTGAGGGACCAGTATACTGGAGAATCCCACCCAAAGGAAGTGGTCTCAGTCTCCAGGCTTCATTAGTTAATACTTCTGTCCACTGTGGAATACTTTCCATTATTTTGAGAAGTGCCATATCAAAACCACTGAAACTAAGAAGGCAAAATAATGTAGTGGAAAGAGAGCTCTGACCCTTGAGTCAGAGCACCAGGTTCAAGTCTCTGCTCTGTTACTTACTACCTGTGTAATTCCAGGCATGTGACTTAACCTTTCTGAGTCTCAATTTCCTCATTTGTAAAGTGAGAGGTTTGGACTTAATGATCTCTAAGCTTCCTTTTACCAATAAGAATTATGAGTCTAAGATATTACGGTAATTCATATCAAAGTAAGTCATTTTCTTGTCCATAAGAAGTGGGGGTTGGACTAAATGATATTCAAATTCCCTTCCAGGGACAAAATTCTTTGTGAAGTACTTCTCTCCTTGAAGACAGCTCTCTGGAGGTTCTGTTGTGACTACCCTGTGGGTTATCGTGCTCTGATCAGCCTTCATCTGGAGCCTTCTTCACTACCACTGGGGCTACTCTCAGTAGCTTTGACCTTAGCCTTGGGCATAAGGCAAGGGAGTATATTAGATCCTGATAATCTTTTTCTGTTACATTGAAGAATCTGTAACCATTGCCATTCCAATCTCTAGTCTCAAGTTGGAGGGAATAGTAATGGGAGGGGAGAAAGAGAGAGAGACAGAAAGGGAGAGAGAGGCAGAAAGACAGACAGACCAAAAGACAGACAGAAAGAGGGAGGGAAGGAGAGGGCAAGAAGGAGAGACACAGACATACACAGAGACAGGCAGAAAGAGGGAGGGAGGGAAGGAGAGAGAGGGAGGGAAGGAAAGAGTGATAAGGAG